GTGTGAGAAGAGGGGCCTTTGTACTGGGGAGCTGCGGAGCAATAATCATCCTGTCAGGGAGACACAGTGTGCCAACATCATCATCATTTATATTGCGCTCAATACCAGAGTGCATTCCAATAGTCAAAAACAGTTACATCCGTAGCATAATTGCAATGATAAAAAGATACAGCAATTATCATCCCATGAGACAATAACAACAATCCAAATATCTATAATATTATAATAATTGAAGTACAGTAATTCTGTCCCAATAATAGCCTATTTCCATAGTCAGACCTTATGGTTCCAGGTTGAACAAGTAGGTTTTTAGGTCTCGTTTGAATTTGTCCAACTCTACTTCCATGCAAACATATTGCAGACGGGAATTCCATAATTTTGGGTCCAGATGAGAAAATGTTCTAGGTCTAGACTTAGCCTTGGTCTGAGGGACTAGTAAGAGACCAGCATCCGCAGATCGAGTCCTCCTACGAGGAATAGTCCTCCCCACAAGTTCCGCTAAATAGCTAGGGCAAGAGAAATGTAATGCTTTCAATGTCAGAACAAGTGCCTCATAATATGTTGATCTGATGGGACGTCTTCCGCCGTGCCCTGAGAAAGAATCCTGTTCCAGCAGATCCTGAAGGGTTTCTGGCTTCGGCAGCGGGTGGCCGCTGGAGGCCCACGTACGTATGGGGAAGGCCCCCCCGAGGGACAGCTGGGTAGAGTCAGCTCAGAACTGGGGGGCAGCGGGGAGGGACAGCTGGTACCTTAAGCACTTGGTCTGTCTTGGGGAGGGGGGGTGAGGGCTCCTCAGGATGAAGCCACGTGCGTTTGCAGTGAATGCTTTAGGTGGCGGTGGTGGGGGGCAAGGGGGCGAGTGGGGACTGACAGCTGCTCTGACGTTTTCAGGCTTCCTTGCCAGCCTGTGCATTTGGGTGATTCTTTCCGGAGAAGGCCTGATTGTCCATGGAATCCACAAGAGCAGAATGCTGAGTTAGAGAGGATGTTGTAGGATCCGGACTGGAGAATCATCCATGGGCGGTAAAGGGGAGAATGATATTGCCTGTCCACTTCGCCTTCCTCTGTGACTGGCAGGTAGTGAGGCTGCAAAGGATGGAGAAGCAGAGGTAGTGGGGTGATTCTTTCCGGAGAAGGCCTGATTGTCCATGGAATCCACAAGAGCAGAATGCTGAGTTAGAGAGGATGTTGTAGGATCCGGACTGGAGAATCATCCATGGGCGGTAAAGGGGAGAATGATATTGCCTGTCCACTTCGCCTTCCTCTGTGACTGGCAGGTAGTGAGGCTGCAAAGGATGGAGAAGCAGAGGTAGTGTAGTGTGCNTGGAAGGCCCAATGGCCACCAACGCCAGTTGGCTGGAGTCCGTTTCTGGCCACTGGGCAGAGGCGCCCTCTGATCCACAGACACCTGCCTGCAGATTCCTCTTTGGGCATGGCTGGGGCTGCGGTGTGGCGTGGTAGGCGCTGCAGGTGAGGCGGGTAGCCAGGCACACGCCTGCTCAGTGTCCAGAAGTGTGGAGGGAGGGAAGTGCCTCAGGAGAAAAGCCACAAATGAGTAGGTCCCACCAGAGGGGGAGGAGGGCTCTGTCCCTGTGCCTTGAAAGTCACGAGACCCTTAGGGTGGTTCCTGGACATAAGACACAGGGCGCCGGCCCCAGGAGGACACGCCAAGCGGTTGCACAGAGGAGGAGATCTCTCCGGGCGGAGGAGAGCCCTTAGGGTGGTTCCTGGACATAAGGCACAGGGCGCCGGCCCCAGGAGGACACGCGAAGCGGTTGCACAGAGGAGGAGGAGATCTCTCCGGGCGGAGGAGAGGGTCGGTTCTCTCGGAAGAGGAGGTGGCGGGGGCAGAGGCAGGCAAGGGAACGCCCTCGCGCTGCAGGAGGAGGAGGGAGATTTTTCTCTCTGTGCGATGGACCCATCGGCCACGTGCCGTCAAAGCACAGAGTGGCTGAGCTGCTCCGTCAAGCTTTTGCCCCGGTATTTTGGTTTGTGGCGCCACAGCCCTGGTGAGGAAGATTCCACAAAGGGACCTGCTTCTTCGCCGAGAAGTAATAGTCGCGCCATCAGCAGCATCCTGAGTGGCAGAAATTTCACCTTGCTCGGCGACAGCCGCTTTGCTCCTTTTCCTTAGTGCCCTGAGAGTGAGAACGTGTGAAGAGTCTTTCAGAGTAGACGCTCAGTATAGAAATCTCTCTTCTTGCTCCACGTTGGTTTTCTCCAGATGAAATGGAATTAGCTGGCAGGAGCTGGACTTTGCCCTTGTGGGAGCTGCTGTGCTGGGGGTGATTTCCTCCCTCGCCCACCTCTGCCCAGGGTGGCTGCCCAGGTGCTTATCCCCCCCCCCCTCCTGATAGAGGGGAATGCAGGGGGGGGCCCTTGGGCATCCGTGACCCCGCTGTTCAGAGAAATGGGCATGTGTTTCAAGGAAGAGACCACAAGGAGGCAGGAAGGACCGGGGGCGGGGGGGAGGCACCCGTGGTCCTCTTGTGCTTTGTTCACAGCTTTGGGAGACAGGAAGTTGCACTTGGAGAAATAACAGTGAATTCCCGGGTTGCAAAAAAGACTCACAGACACTGGGACACAATGTCTGTCCTGGTGCTGTGTTGCTCCCGCAGAAGCTGTACCCTCCCTCCCTCTCTCTCCCCTTGGAAGTGGCCCTCCAGGTCTTGCTAGATTTCCAGCGATGGACAAGCAATTCCCTTACAGCTGTCTCCTGAAGAGCTTTTTCTGTTTAAATTGGGCCCAAAGGCACTTTTCTTGCCAGCAAAACAAAGGATCGAGTGGAACGTCTTTCAAACATAGGGAGAAAAATGTTTGAACACGACAGAAGCTGTCGGGTGAAGTCTCTGCCCCACGCGGAAGAAAGGGCACCTCTTCCCGCCCGCTTCAGAGGCTGTGGCGTTTGGGGCCTCCTTGCCAGGAACACTTCTTCCCTGGGGGGGGGGGGGGGGAGAGCATGTGGTCTGTGACAAGGCACCTCAGAGCTGGTCTTTCTTTGCAGGGAAACGGGAGAGGTTAAGCCAATTGTCCTAATCCAGGTAATCCTTTTAGCTGCTGTGATTTAATAAAGCCCACATCTCTGGCCGGGAAGCAGCCGGTCTGTGCTTCTCTGATAGCGATCGTGCCCTGCAGGCAGTTTCCAGGAGCCGAGAGATGGTCTGGCCAGCCGGCCTGCTCCTCCGTTTCATTTCCCATCTCATGGCCCCCGAAGGAAAGGGGCCAGCACTTGTTCCGGCAGAGGGCCAAGACAAAAGACGGCTGTCCCGCTGCTGGGGGAACGGAGAGCCGGCCGGCTGGCTGACCCACCGACCATGTCACCAGAGGCTGGGGATCCCCTCGTCCCAGCGGCTCGACGCCTGCTTGCTTTCCCTCCTGGAGCACAGCTGCTCCTTGCCCCCAAACCCCCATCTGTCTGGATTCCTTGGCCTGAGGAGGGCTGCCCACGGGAGGGGCCCCCTTGGGGGGGGGAACCGAGGGCCAAGCCGCCCCTCCCTCCTGCCTGCCTGCGTTCTCCCAGGAGGGGTGGAGAAGGGGTTCAGGGGTCTCCCAAGAGTCAAGCGGCCTGACCCCAACGGTGCCACCTGCCTTGCTGGTTGAGCTGTGGGTCCCTGCGCTGCCTCAGTTTCCCCTGTTCCCTGCCAAGATGGAGGAAACTGGGGGCCAGATGGGGGGGGGAAGGCCTGCTGGTATGAGAGAACCACAGCAGAGATACTGTGTCCTCCTGCTGACATTGGTCTCCCAATAAAACGGGCCTTTCTGTTGGGGGGGGGTGCTGAGGGAATGCCAGCAGCCGGAGGAGCCCTCAGGAGAGAAGCTAGCCGGAGTTCCCCAGGACCACCTTCAGAATCCCTGCAGCGGAAGGAGAGGCACGGCCTGGAGGAGGAGGCCAAAGGCACGGATGCACACACACTCATGCACACACCCTGCTCGAGGGTTCTGCTTTCCACAGGAGCCGAACAGCCGCCTCTTCTGGGAAGTCCAGAACCAGTAAGGGTGGAAGTGGGGCGGCGGGGGGGGGGGAAACGCAGCTCCTGCCACTCCTGCAACCAAGCAAATGGGCTGTGGCGAGGCTTGCCTCAGGCCTTGGAGGTGGCTGGGTGGCAGCCTGCCCTTTGGACTGGTAGCTACCCTTTCTGCCTCTTCCTCATGTTTGTGTTCAGTCCCCTTTCAAGGTTGTTGTAGCAGCTGGTGGTCGTTGCTGTATCTAGGGGCAGTGAGTTCCACAGGCTGACCATGTGCTGTTCCCCTTAGAAATGCTTGCAGCAGTTGCAGATACAATAAACGGACTCCCCCCCCCAGCTCTCTGAAGACGCCTGTGACAACCCCAGACCTACTAGAGTATGCCACACTATAATTAAGCTGCCACCAACCATTCCCTAAAAGGAGTCACACAGACCAGGAATGGATTTTTAACAAACAACAGAACAAGGTTTATTTAAATAACAAACAGGGTAAATAAAAAGATCAAGTAAATAAGATACTGTAACGTGGCTTAGTCTCAATCAAGTTGCAGATAAACGGACTCCCCCCACCAGCTGTCTGAAGAGGCCAAACCCCACTTTCTTTGGAGCCTCTAGAATTGGGGGAACCTGTCAGAGGCTGAAGCTGGAGGGCCCTTCCTGGGCGAAGCCCTCCAGAGCCACAGCAGAAGGCCCCAGAGTGGACCCAGGAATGCTCTCTCTCCGTTCCCCCCCCCAAGCAATTCCCTTCTCCACAGGCAGCCTTCCGATGGGAACTCCCCCTCCCCTGAGGTTACACGTCGT